AACAATGCAAGAAAACTAACAATGCAAGAAAATTAACATAGGAAAACAGCTGTATAAGAAGGGAGAATTTGAGGCTTGCAATGGCTTTTGAGGTGCTTTTTTCTTTTTTTCTGTTTTTTTTGGGGGGGGGATTTCCTTCACAAAGGAAGAATTTTTATATCCAGTGGGAGTCTTTATAGCCACTGAGAAACTATCTCTGTAAGATAAAAGTTTCCTCATCTATAAAATGGCAACACCACTAATACGACATATTTTATAAGATAATTGTGAATGTGAAGTTAATGCCTACCTGTGAAGGTCAACACAGTAGTTGGGAATATATTGGTTATGTTACCTTTGCAAAATTTTTAGGCCTGTTCCCATTGAATGACAAATCTGTTTATTGAGCCAAAAAACAGCTCCTGGAACTATGTAGAATAAGTCAAATCCACCATCTACATTAATAGTCCTTCAAATACTTGAAGACAGCTTTCATGAATTTAATAACTGCTTTCTGTGGCTTCTTTTTTTTTAATTTCAAGAATAGAACACAGTAGACTGTAAAAATGAGCATTATCAGTCTTCCTTTGGATTTTCTATGTAAATGTTGTTTAACATTCAAATGGTGCTGATTATAATTTGAGATATTAACAGTTAGATATGCCATTGTGTCCCTCTGTTATTGTTTGTAAAGGAGGTTAAACAGTATATTAACTTCTGAGTAGTGATTTACTGTTGCTTTTGTCAGAGAAAAATAAAAAAGAAGTAAAATAATATAATTTGATATTGCCTTTGAGACTTTTCAGTTTGTAGAAGTCTTTATTTCCTACTCAATTTTATTTTTTTAAAAAGCACACATGTAGTGTAAATACAGCCTCACACAAACGCAGAGTTGTTCTTTTCTTCCTGGATTAAGCTGTTGTGTAATATTGCTCTGTAACCATTAAGCAGCTGCTCTGCCTCAGAGATGCTCATATTTCCTTTGGTAGACGAAGGGAATTTACTCTATGAATGTCTCCAAATTGCTTTAAGATCTTTAGCTGTTGTATCAGCTATTTCGATTTACGGTGGTCTGTGAAACGGGAAAAACATGTTCCTGAAAGGCCCCAGTACCCTGGAGGTTACAGATGGGGTTATGTTAGCAGCAGATAACCTGACATTTTGCTGAGTCTCACCCCTTATCCTACTGCAGGACCCCTGACTCATTGCAAAATCCTCCCGATTATTTTGCCATAGCCCTCAAGTATTGTCTTCTGTATGCTAATGAGTAAGCACTAGTAGGTATCCAAGTACTATTTTAAGTATCTGAGTACTATTTCATCCATGATTTCTTTTTCACTCTACCGTGTCTTGGGTAATGTCTGTCCATTGCAAAGGCTGTGCTGCCTGCAGAGATGTATGAAGGTGGCAGCCATCTGGTTCAGGTGCTCCTCCCAGACTATCCCTCTTGCCTGATTCTCACCTGTCCCTGTTCCCACAGGTACATGGTTAATAGGCATCACCACTCATCCTGAAGAAACCTTCCTCCACTAAAGTCTCACTGGGCTCCATGCAGGAGTAGAGCCCAATGGGACGTGTGTGGTGTTTTGCATTTTATCCAGTAGGTTCCAAAGAAGTTCTGATATATTTCCAATGCTTTTCATAGTTTCCGTAAACTACCTCTTTCCATTGTTTCTGTAGATTCCAATTTCTTAGAACCTGGGGAGTTGGGGGTGAGGAGTGGAGAAACACCCTGCTACATTCTGAATTGTCTTCTTTTTTTCTGTGAATAGCTACAATAGTCATTGTATTGTCTATGTTTGACTGCCTGACTGTCTTCCCACTGTTAGAATTGGCCTTGAGCTTGCTCATCCCTTCTTCGTGATTTGGCTTCCAGCAGGTTCACACCCCAGTCCATCTTAATGGTTATGACTTAGGAGCAAATGGATCTCTGACTCCTCATTGGAGTAATAAGGAAATGAACTTCAGATTACACATACATATTGCAATGTTATTATGTATTACATCTGATACAGTTTATGTAAACACATTGAAATGTTCATCACTTATTCATCGATTTATTTAACAAGTATTTTGTGGCTCTTACTATTTAAACACTTCCAGTTCCTTGGTTTTTACTTTGTATAAGTGCCTAACATTACACATTAGTACACAACAAAGTAAGAGATATAATCTGACCCTAATCATTACTCTTTCTCATGTGACCCGAAAGCCTAAATACACTCTTCAGCAAATAAGTTCTAGGGAATAACAAAAGTTAGTATAATTATCCATGAATCTTAAACCATCTGTATCTACACTGTAATAAAATGACTAAGATGTTAATGTGTGACCCTGTTTTTAAAGTTGAATTTTAGAATTTTGTTCTGTGTTTAGTACTTACTCTATATATAGGCAATGAGTTAGTCATTAAGGAAGATAAAGAGATGAACAAAACCCAGTCACTTCCCTAACTAAAGGAGCTGATAATCCAGCAATGACTGCAAGACTTGAAAACAGATCTCTCAGAAAATCTGAAAGTACAAAGTATAAAATTAGTCCAAACTAGGAGCTATGCAAGTACAGAGGAAAGAGATTTCTGGCTGGGCCACTGGGTGGGAGAAGGAGGTGGAGGAGCAGTTTACAGAGTGGGTGGTGGTTGGGTTGGATTTTGAAGGATGAGACTAGAGTATGTAGAAAGAGGACCGTCTCATTGCAGGGAACTGCAGGAGGAAGATATGAAGGTAGGCATTTACAGAGTACAATTGGGTGATGAAAAATAATCTTCTGTGACTAGTTGAGTATATGAGCTGTGGTCATGATAAAGGAGGTGTTTTTTTTGTTTTGTTTTGTTTTTTTGCGATGGAGTCTTGCTATGTTGCCTAGGCCGGAGTGCAGTGGCTCCTCTCGGCTCACTACAACCTTCGCCTTCTCGGTTCAAGCGATTCTCCTGCCTCAGCCTCCCGAGTAGCTGAGACTACAGGTGCCCGCCACCAAGCCTGGCTAATTTTTGTATTTTTAGTCGAGATGGGGTTTCACCATATCGGCCAGGCTGGTCTCAAACTCCTGACCTTGTGATCCACGCATCACGGCCTCCCAAGATAAAGAAGGGTTTTGTACTTAATATATTTACTTTATTAAGTTTACCCTATATAACATAAAATATAATGAACTATAAGCAATAGCAAAAGCAACAGAAATCTTTCTATATGATGGTAAGTTACAGTGATCCAGAAGAGTCAAAAATATCTCTTTCCCCAACCGGCAAGACAGTCAATGTCCTTTTTTTGTATTCATGACTTTTAGCACCTTGTCCAGTGACTGTTACATAGAAGTTTCTCAATAATTACTGAAATGAGAATTAATTGCTCAAGAAGTAAGAGTTTCTTAAAATAGAAGTGCATTAAATTGGGACATTTTGTTATAACACTCTTAAAAATGTATGTATATTTTTTAGAGTAATGACTTAATGTGGCACCTGTTTTATCCCCTACTGAGATCTTACAATTTCCTCTCACTCCTTCTTTCATTCTGTTTCTAAAGAAGGTGGGTGGGTGGATGTCAAACATCAATGGCTCCTCAGTTCACAGCAGTGAAACATATATGCTAATTGAATGATTTTCTGTCTTTTCATGCTATGTATGGTTGAAAAGCAGTGTGGTGCCTTTTGTTCTGGTAAATTTTCTGAATAAAGATTTACGGATCATTTTGGACTGTCTGGAGGCCAGTGTGCGTAATTCGGTATATGGCTGATCGCAGGTTCCACTGGCCCATCTTAATTTATTGGTAACATTTTAACCAGTGTTTACCATGGGGTTTATATTTTTATCTCCCTTAGTAACAGCTCTGTAAGATAGGTGATTTTTGTTGTCTCTAATTTGTAAGTGAGGAATCTGAGGCAAAAAGAGGACTAACAACCTACCCGAGACTTCATAACTGGTAATCCGTGGCCAGAATTCAAATCCCAGCTCTTTGATTTCAGTGCTTCACGTTGCTACACTACCCAAGCCTCACATCTCTGAACTGAATCTAATTCCTTGGTCAGCTCTAAAGCTTTATATAAAATCCAGTCAAATTGCCAGTCCTTAGAATTTAGTTTTGTTTGTTTGTTTCTCAGAAGTATTTCAGTTCTGAGGATTTTCAAACTTATTCTCTCCCTAGGACAGAAGCAATTAGGCTATAACATCCCCCCATAAGGTATTCCCTCCCTCCTTACACACACTCATTACACCCCCTTAACATGAATGAGAATGGGGTGGACTGGGTGCAGGGTTACTGCCATTTGTGGGAGTTCTCGTCTCTAGTTTTGGACATAGTTAGACCAGCTAATAAGCAGGCTCCATGGCCACTGTGCACTCTGTCCAGGTGTGACTTAAGGGTCATGTGGCATTCCCAGAGGCCTGGATTCACAACCATTTGCCAGAAAAGGTGTCTGATTCTTGAAATAAAAGGAGTCCAGTGGAATAGTAGCAAGGGTGAGGAAAGCAGTGAAATTGTGCAACGTATATTAAAGATGCCCAGAAATAGGTCAATGCAAAGTTCTGTATTTGCTGTATATACAAGTTCTGCTTTTTTATGTTATTAGTGACCCTGGAACGAGGGTGGGGGTGCTGGTAATAGCAGCTCACTTTTCTTTAATCAGAGAAGGTTTTACAAAAGAACAGTGGTTTTAAGAGATCTTTGACGTTATTCCAGCAAGGTGCTAATTGTGGTTGTGGTTTCCTTTTTCTTCTTTTCATTTTTCACTTTAGTCTACCAGGTGCTACTGAGTCAAAAGCATTCACTGAGAGCCCACAGACCATTCTGTATGCATGGGCCATGGCAAATCAAACCGCATCAATAACACTGTACGTTTACAAAGGGAAGAAAAAGTTTTCCTAAGAGATTATTTGTTACCTAAACTTTTTATTTTTGTTTAAACAAACCTAATTTGCATTCATAAGAGTTATTTTTTAAAGTCCTTATTGTAAGCATATCTGGTTTTTGTTCAAACCTTTGGCTTTAAAACACTGAAATTCTAGTGCGTTATCATTTATTTTGCTGTCTGCTTATGTTGATCATTTTTCCTTTAATGTTTATTTTTAGGATACCTTGAGGATAGTTTTGTAAAATCTGGAGTCTTCAATGTATCAGAACTTGTAAGAGTATCCAGAAGTAAGTAAATTGTTTTCTTACTACTTAAGCATGCAATATGATTTAAAATACTTTATATTTTGAACCTTAAATATAGTGTAAAGAGTGACCACATATTAGGAACATTTGAATTTTAAAATCTTAAAACTTTTGATGAAATAATAACAATATATTTTGCTTGATTTTCTAAAATGTTTGCATTGAAATCATCAAAACTTTTTGTTGTGCAAAAATAATTTTGAGTTTTTTCTGATTGCCATGTTACTGGTATTCATTTAATTCACTGTTCTCTGCATGACCATAGATGGCCATTTATACCAAAGGAAGTGTGGTTAATTAAATGTACTCTATGTTGTTATGATAACCCACATAAGTTTCCTGTAGATAAGTGCTTTTTCATTTTACTAACATTTTGGTGGGGGTTGGAGATGTACAGGATGTACACACTAGCATGCAGAGTGTAGAGGGATGCAGAAATTAACTTTGCAGATTGTAGTTGGATATAGATAGAAAGCATTGTTATCCAAAACAATGTCCAATTGTTTTAACTGGCCACTTCACCTGAGACACCATTCTTGGCAGGCTGAATCAGATTTTTCTAGGGTAAGCTCACCTGGCAGGGTACCTAAGCAAAGGGGACGTTACCTTGATTAACTCTTTTACTTATTACTAGCATGTACAAACATATCCAAGATGCAGATCTGTATGTACTAATTATGTTAAAGGAGGTGACTCCTTTCTTCATACTCCCTTCACTGATTTAGCTTATTTATGTGACTTTGAAGGATATATTTTCACCTGACATTTTGATAGAATGCATCACACTTTGAAATGATGTTATTCAGATGATGTAGTCACACTCTGAAACTTGCCTAAGTTGTGTTTCTCATTTGGGTCAAATTTAGAGGTCATGAATAAGAATTATGATGATCCAGAAAGAACAGAGTAAGCGAGGTGCTGAGGATAAGAATAAGCAGTGTTTTAAAGTCTTGTTGTTCAGCAAAGGAATCTCCAAGCTATCACTGACTGGCTTTTGAACCATAGTTCCTCAAATAGCTCACATTTCTAAAGTGAACAGTGCAAATAGCATGTATAGCAGGGAGTGATATACATGAACGTTTAAGACCATAAGTAGTTTATCCTTTCTGGTATAATTCTGGGGTAGATAAATGTATACCCAAAAGACTTGTCTCATGGGTCTTTTTACTTGGTGACAATGTAGGAGAAGAAACACAAATTTCCTGTATTCCGGTAGCCCCAGCATATGTATTGGATGGGCAAGGAGATTGTCCAAGGCAATGTGCCTTAATGTGTTTTTCCAGATGAATATGTGATATCCAAAGGTCTCCAACATTTGAAAGTTTTCGCTGTTAATTTGGGAAGAAATATACCTGACTTATCAGTAGCACTTTGTAGCATCAGGTAAGACAGGGGATACCTGAAGGGGTGTGTGTGTTTTCCCCATACTGTTCTTTAGCAGAAAGGCTTATGCTGCTACAGTTAGGAGGCTTATGAAATTATTTGCTTAAATTCGTACTTCTCTGAGTTCAAGTTCAGTGGTGTATTTTCATCCTTCTTAGGAGAAGGACAGTAGAGTCAGCTGTCAGAAAATATTTATTTAGTACCTCATTATAGGTAATACTATGCTAAGGACTGTCAAAGGAGAACTACATTAGAACCTTCAAAAGCCCAGACAGATATTTTGAAAAATCTGAATTTCAAACATTAAAGATGAAAATTATCTTTCTAGAACAGTTTAAAACCAAGGTAAATTTAATATACTTCATTCATTCATTCTTAACTTATAAAGTCATATCCTGGAGATTTTTAGGTTATTTGTTATAACAAACATTACTGATTTGTAATTAGCACATTAATTATCTATATTCATTAGATAATTTATTCAGCAAACATTTATTTTCTCCTCCATATGTAAATAGGTGTCTCTGAAAGGCCTGATAAGTTATCCTCCTAAGTGTTTTAATGTAGCCACATCATAATCTTTGTTTACACAATTAAACTTCATTATTTATGAAATAAAGGCTTGCTAAGTAAACATAAACTTCAGCACAGTACTTAAGTGTGTATCACAAATTCTGACTTCTTGAGGGTTTACAGTATTCTAGTGTTTTCAGTCCTCCAGGGTTTTACAATCATACGACCCACTGATGTGTATGTTGACTTTAGCTAATGAAGCTATTCAGCATTAGGATAGTGAGCTCTCTGTTGAATGATATTATCTCCATCTTAAAAGTTGATTTAGGATCAGCTTTTGGAGTGAGGAGAACAATAAAGGAGATTAAAGGTTGGCTTCTAACCCTTAGAATCTGAGGTTCTTTGGTGCTTCATTTCTAAGAGGATATTGGCAACCTCTTAAACATGATTTGCAGCTTTCAGCCTTCTTGTAGCTCCCTGGGAGAGGAGCTAACACTGATCTTTGCATCTGATGTAAGTTCTTCCAGAGGCTCTTAAACAGGAATATCTGACTGAGACTTGCTGTTCTCACACACTCTCTTTGTCATTAAGTAATTCCATGTGTGTTGTTTTAGTGCTTTGGCCATGTTTATTGTTAATCTACTTTCCTTTCTGTAATCTCCCATTTAGTGTCATAATACATACTAAATTTTTACAGTGCTCATGCATAAATCTGTAGACAAATTATTTTATTGCTATCTTTACAAAATTAAAACATAATATGTGTACATATTTATGGAATCCATGTGATCTTTGGATCCATGCATACAATGTATAATGATTAAATCAGGCTATTTAGGATATCTGTCATCTCAAACATTTGTCATTTCTTCATGTTGGGAATGTTTCAAATCTTCTTTTCTTGCTATTTTGAAATATGTGGTATATTGTTAACTATAGTCACCCTGCTGTGCTATCAAATATTGCAAATTATTCTTTCTATCTATTACAACTGTATGTTTTTACCCATTAACCAATCTCTCTTCATCTCCCCACCTCCCCACCCTCCCCCACCTCTGACAACCCCTTCCATGAGATCAACTTTTTAAGCTCCCATGTATGAGTGAGAACATGCTATATTTGTCGTTTTTATTGCTGTCTTGACACTCTGGAGTAATCCTTCTGGAACAAAATTTAGAAAAAAACAAAATTTCTGAAGATTTTAAAATTATCATTTACTACAAATTACATCTAGTTGATTTATGGGTAAGCAAATTATGTTAACTATGGAGCCATATGTATTCAATAGAAACTATAAATCTTTGCCTAAATATTGTATGAGCTTAATAAATTGAAAATAGTTTATATAAGGGAGAACCTCTAAGTTTCCTGTTAGTAACTCAGGTCTAGGATTGTATCCATTACTGTGATGGGAAGCCAGACAGATTGTTTACTTCAATTGAGCCCCTGAAATACCTCCTTCTAGCATGTACCCCACTTCCAGTGTCATATAGAACATGGTTCTAATAATAAATTATAAAACATGTGGTTACTGTGGGATTTCTTACCTCACTTTTTTTTAACCTTTGGTGTGCCTCAAGCCACAACAGACATAGCTACATTTTAGCTGTCCAAATAATTCAAGCCATCAGGCATAGTTACTCATTGGATACAAATATTTTCCGTGTAAAGGATGTTACAGTGTATTATATAACATGAACAATCTATCAGAAGGCCAATAGATACTCCAGAAGTTTGGAGCTGATACGAATCATGTATATACTGATGTATTTAAGTTTTAGTCGGGAAAGAGAGCTGTTCCTTTTGTGTTCCTTGGTCACTTCTCTGTGATAAAGCTTGTACCTCCTAATTTCCTTTCTTAAAAATATTTTAAGTTAATCTTAGCCTGCCTAATATTAAAATACAATTCGAAGGATAGTGAACACATTTAGAATATTCATTAAAAATGATGGGTAAGAAAAATTCCATAACAATCTGCAGTCTCTTTGGAATTTTATACTCAACTTGAGGCAATTGGGAGGCAGGAGGCGATTAAGTAGACCACGTATGCTTAGAGTGAATCTCAGGGGCTCTAGAATTTTGTTGCAAAGCCCCAGAGTGCACTTTCATTTGAGCTTTTGAAGGGCTGATTAAGACAGGTAAAGAAATAGAAACTGTTCTTAAGCAGTTCTTTGACACCGACCTGCCTGGTCTCCACTTTGCACATTGTCTCTACCTGTGATTTTACTTCTGCAGCAGTCCCTGTTTAGAATGACCTTCCTCTAATCTCTTACTCATTCTCCAAAGTCCAGTGCCAGCCATGGCTTTTCTCAGACTTCTTGGACAGTTCATGCTGCTATTGGATTATTTTTCCCTTGAAATTCTACAGCAGTTTTGGATCATGTCATTAATTTGGACAGTTTCATTTTCATCTGTTTTGGTATTTATATGTTTCTCATGAATGTTTTACTTACCCAGCTTGTTGCCCAATGTTTTTATTAAGGGCAATATATGAGACTATTTTGTACTCATTGCAGCCAACACCTGCCAGCAATGGACACAGTCAATAATTTGTTGAATGAACATATTTTCAGCAGACAGGTTCATTTATACCTCTTCCTCTGCTTTTAACAAGTTTGAACTGTTCATCTTTGCTAACCATTCCTGTCTACCAGGGAAGAAGTTTGGAGGAGAAAGCAAAGAAGGAGGGGAACTCACAATCGTTGAGCACCTGTTATACACTAGGCACAATTCTAGGCTCTTATCACTACCTGTTTCATTTCATCCTCAAAATAATCATACGTGTCAGGTTGTTATTACTCCCATTTTACAGTTAGGAAACTAGGGCACATAGCTTATAAGTACAGAGGGAGTTTAAACTAAAAGGCTATTTATCTCTCAAGACTCTGCTGATTCTAACACAATATGCTGCCTCACAGATTTGTTCACGATCTCTAAAATTAAATTAAACAAATTTGAACAGATGTAATTATACAAAATATCGTGAGATATTTTGATAAAGACATACAATGCATAATAATCACATCAGGGTAAATGGGGTATCCATCACCTGAAGCATTTATCCTTTGTGTTACAAACCAAAAATTATTATTCTATAATAATATCAACATTACTATTTGAGTGGATTAGAAGTCGTGATATTAATAATTATTATTATATTCTAACTAGGAGGCTGTGAATAATAATTTTTGCTATTTTTTTTGTGTGAAATGGTTCTATGTTTATTTGACAATGATTTGATTTTTGAGAGCCTAAGTAGTGCAAAGCAGCTTGTTTGGTGTTGCTGAGTGATAGGACTCATATATTCTGTTTCCTCCAAGGCCTTTGTAGCTAGCAGAGTGACAGATGTAATGTCAACTAATATAAAGGAGTGAGTAAAGAAGGTTGAGGAATAGGATTAGGGAAATTGGTAACCAGTAATTATAATCTGATTGCCTCAAATGTCCAAGCTTGAACGTTGCTAAGGTGAGCAAGTTTTCAAGTCCTACCCAGGTTGTATGGTGGGTATTAGAGGCTTAAGGTGAAGAAAGTTCTCTCTATCTTTGACCAGAGGCATGGAAGATTCTCGATTATTGCATTTGAATAGAGGTCAGAAATAAGAATGTCATTCCCAATGCTTCTTTGTCTTATTCCTCAGCACCCATAACCCAGGGAACTGGAGTCAACTTCCCAATTGGAGAAATCCCAAGCCAACCATACTATCATGACATGAACTCGGGGGTCAATCTTCAGAGGTCGCTGTCTTCTCCTCCAAGCAGGTAACTGAAAGAAAGGCTGCTCATATTCTCAGTTGATACCCACATAGGTTGGTAGGTGGATGATAGGCAGATAGATAGGTAGGTAAGTAAAGAGAGATGGGAAATAATTTTTGCTGATAGTACACAGATTTTTAATCTTTCCTGGTTAAATTTATTTGGCTGGTACAAATTAAATGTAATTGTTTTATACAGCAGTTTTAAAAATCTTTTTCAGGGGGACAGGTAACTAGGAAAATATATTAATATGATTTTTGCCCTGTTGTAGGAAATATTAAAATGCTGCAAGTTAACAAAATATTTCGATGACTTTAAAAATGATGTTGCTGTGGCAGTGATATCTGGTTTATAACTGATTCCTGGTAACTTTTATCCAAATATTACATCTAAGCTTAGAATAATGAAACATAAAAAATAAAATGTGTCATTTACCTAGCCTTAAAATTAAAGACCACAGTTTGCCAAGTTCTTCAATTAGCTGATTTTTTTTGACTAATTTAATTAACACTCTGTTACCAATGAAAATATTACCTTCCCTGAGATTTGGTTGAACCAGTCTATGTTGGGGGTCAGCTAGAGAGAGTTCTCTTTGCTTTTGACTTCTCTGTTAACATTCTCATTTTTTTTACTGATCTCATTGTAATTGTTAGTCAGGGTGAATAGAGATTACAGATGTATCTTTTTTTTTTTTTTTAATTTGAGCTAGATCTTCGAGACCCATCTCATTTCTAGAGCATTAAATATATGTGTAATTAAATATAAGAGCATACATGAATTCTAGAGCAAAACACTCATTTTACAATATGAACTTTTTAAAAACAAAAGCATACCTGTGTATTTATTTTCCTAAACTATTGTCGGTAGTGAAAGTTCGTTGAATTTGAATTAATTATGGACTGGGCATATTTATATGTTTATAAACTAAGATCAATTTTATATCAGTTCTTGTTAAACCATTTTCATATAGTTAAATTATGTAGCAAGATAATTTGGTTTATTATCATTAAAATAGTCTCTGATATATCAAAGTCTTAAAAATGCTTTGGTTTTTCTAAATTTAAAATGTGAGTAGTAATTTTTAAATTTTATCTGCTAAATCAGTATGTTGTCAACACAGATCTTTCTTTATGACTACTTTATATAAGATACTGTCTTTCAGAATAAGCAAGGTTTAAAAAACATTTCTCTGTTACTTCCTTATGCATGTAATTTGTTCCCCATTTTAAGTGTTTCAGACAAATTTTCTGCTGACTCATAGACGAGAGAATTAGATTTAAAAGAGAGTTAAAATGTAAGGTCTAACTTTGGATACTTTGGGAAGAAACTAAGCTTAGCATGGATAGAAATTGCCATCTTCTACATCCTGTTAATACTCTGAGAATTATGAGTCAAATATTAATCATGAGTATCTACAAATGTACTCAGACATACATATACATGATTCAAGGGCTTGGAAGCACAGTGCAGTGGAAAGAGCGCACTTCTGGAAGTCAGACATCCTTACCTTATGTCTGACTGCTTCCATTCACTTGCCCTGGACAATCCACTGAGTCTCTCCAAATGTGTCTCCCCATTTGTAAAAACAAGGGGATTGGTTTATGTATATGATTTTTGAGGTCAGTTTCAATGCTGAAATCCTATAACATTGTGGTTATTATTGCTGCAAAAAGCTAATTTTGAAGATTTTTTAAAAGGTTTTGCCAGATAGGTGTGAATACGAATTTTTTTATTTAATTAAAGAAAAAATATTCACTGGGCACAGTGACTCACATCTGGATTCCCAGTACTTTGGGAGGCCCAGGCAGGAGGATCACTTGAACCTAGGAGTTCAAGACCAGCCTGGACAACTCCCTCTCTACAAACAAATTTTTAAATTTGCAAGGCTTGGTAGCATGTGTATGTGTTTCTAAATATTTGGGAGGCTATGGTAGGAGGATCGCTTGAGCCCAGGAGCTTGAGGCTGCAGTGAGTTGTGGTCATGCAATTGCACTCCAGCCTGGACAACAGAGTGAGACCCTGTCTCAAAAACAAACAAATAAAAAAAGAAAAAATTCACATTTATAGTCATAATTTCATAATTATCTGCTTTATAGGATATTGGTGGGGGCATATGTAAGTATTCTGAGATACTATTACTTGTGCTTTTGAAAATTTTCACAGTAAGGATCTTCTCAGATCATTTGCTTTCAAATGTACACATCTTCCCAGAAATCCCATTAATATAACTATTGCCATATTTTAACAGCAAAAGACCCAAAACTATATCCATAGATGAAAATATGGAACCAAGTCCTACAGGAGACTTTTACCCCTCTCCCAATTCACCAGCTGCTGGAAGTCGAACATGGCATGAAAGAGATCAAGGTGAGTAATAAGGAGATGCCTCTAGAGAGATGAGTAAAATGTTGGCTCGTTTCTTAAGTTTCGTTTAGTCAAAATTTCATAATTAAACCAATATGGATTATATATTGTTTTCATCAAATGATTCCTGTAGAATTATTTTTGAGATAATATATTAGTCAAATGTCAAAGTTAATTTATCCAAAATCTTATATTTACATGTTTCATTGGGCTTTTCTTCAGACAAAATGATGTTTTAGAACCCACAATTATGTATGTGACTGATTATGGTCTGTCTACATTTGTTGGTTGGAGTACAGCAGAACCACAAACTGTGATTCAATTAGATCCGCCTGCTCCTCTCTATGGGGCGTTGCAGGGAGCCAAACTTTAAGCAGTTTGCAAGTGCCAGGAACTGAAAGTTGTCATTTAAAGGAACCTGCAATTCCTTTTGGAAGTAGGTAGACCATATACAATAAAGAAAAGTGTAATGTAAGATACATTGTGTCAGAGTCAATCTAGCTATGCTTTCTAGATAACACTGTGACCTAGTTCTAGGGTAGCTTTGAGGATAAATAATAACTTTAAGAAATGGGTATTAATACCCAGAAGGATTGAGACTTAGCTCTTCTTAAAGTCTGTCGGATTTAGTATATTTCATCACACTTATCTATGCTTTCCCCCACAATCAGAGGGAAATTATTAAGCATGGAAATAGAAAAATTAGCTAACGGCTGTTTTTGTTGATATATAAGCATGTGTGCAAGTAAGATCTTATGTCAGCCGCATAAACATGTATTTTTAAATTGTCTTTTAAATATAATTCTGCATTAAAAGAAATCTAGCCTGGGCAATGTGGCAAGACCCCATCTCTACAAAAAAATACAAAACATTAGCCAGGTATAGTGGTGTGCGCTTGTAGTACCAGCTATTCAGGAGGCTGAGGTGGGAGGATCAGTTGAGCCTGGGAAGCAGAGGCTGGAGTAAGTGTGATCGCACCACTGTACTCTAGCCTGGGTAACAGAGTGAGACCCTGTCTCAAAGAAAAAAAAAATCGAAAAGAAAGGAATAATGGTTTTCAGCCCAAGACTTGGGTATGTATTGGTGAGGGTTGGGGTACTCTATGTTGAGTACTCTTAGGAGACACATAACTCTGGGCCTTAACAGTTAAGGCCAAAGTCAGTTCCTTATTCAGTGCTCCTTTTTTGGTGCTCAAATTTTTAATACCTGAGTGCCAAGGGGTTTAAAGAATAATGAAAAATCTTCATGGAGACATTGACCTTTGAGTCAAGTGTACCTCCTTTAGCACAACTGAATCAAAGCTCAATTCCTAAATCTCACCTAAATCTCCTTGAGATTTTAACTAATAAAGAAGTGAGAGGCTGAAGGGGGTGGTGGTGGGAACTGAGACAAAAGCATAGCCATGTGTTAGGTGGGGAGGCAAATTTGAGAATGGCTGTGTGTGCCATGTGGCTGGACACGGTTCACATGGAGGAAAATAATGGAGATGACAAGGGTCATTTTATGCAAGGATTTGAAACTCAACTGGAGAGAGTTTGACTGTGAGACCCCCCTCAGAGGGAATTTTGTCTCTGAGACTGTCCTCATGAGAGACCCCACCAAATCTATTTTTCAGGCAGTAGGCAAAAATCTTTATAAAACGTAAATAACAGCATATTACTTCCCCTACTTCAGATCCTCTAGTCACTTCCCACTGCTCTCAGGAAAAAATGGGAATTTTCTCGTATGACCAACAGGCCTGGCCTGTGTCTGCCACCATAGCCTTGGCAGGTGACATTCTGCTTTCCCTTACTTGCACTTGAGCCCACTGCTTTATTTAAAGTTGGGAATTCAGCACCCACGACCTTTCTGTAAGTTATGACCTCTGGAATGCTCTTCTAACTCTTTATCTGGCAAACTCTTTGTCATCCTTCAGAGCCCAGCTTAAATTGAGAAATTTCAATCTAAATTCTGTCTTCTAGTTTACTCTGTCAACACCCAGTACTGTTCTTTCATTGTACTCATAATATGTAATCATATAGCTATTTATGAGATTAGTTGTCTAAATCTGTCTACACTGTGAGAGCAGGGACCTTATCTATTTTGACTACTACTGTAACCACCACTTAACACACACTTGGTGCATAGTAGGAGTACAATAAATAGTTGTATAAATGAACCATTGATAGGCAGAACACCAGTCATATTAGTGAAGGCAAGATATAATAGAGACTTTTACCAGAGTTGCAGTAATGAAACGAAAAACAAAACCCTCAACCCTTAATATTTTATTGCTTGTTTTACTGACATTGTCAGCTTATTCTAAACAAAGCCATAGTTTCCCTGTCAGAAAATTCTTCTGGAAAAGATTCTAATGGTAATAACCTTGTGAATGTGTGGGAATGGATGTGTTATTCAGAAGTGTAGGTGTTCTTTATTATAGAGAGTGTCACTTTGTAAGAATTGATTCCTCTTTAAGCCTATTGAATAAAGCCAATCTCAAATCATATTATAAAACATTTTTGAAAAGTAGAAGGGAAACTGTCATTCTTTTTCTTTGTAAAATCATTGTATTGTCTTGGTGATTTTCTTTTGTCAAGATGACTAGACTTATTGGAGGAGTCTGTAAAGGCACATTATATTAAGGGTAAGGAAGAATATTTCATTCTCAAGTGTGCTTTTTAAACACACACACACACACACACACACACTCTCTCTCTCTCTCTCTCTCTCTCTCTCTCTCTCTCTCTCTGTCACTTTAATTCTGAAGACCCTGAAGACTTTGTAATGTGCACAATAAGCCATTGTGGGAAGAAGACTCAACTACAATGAAGAAATGCAGGCAATACAGTACTATCTTTATAATTTGCTAAGCCCAATGCAGTCCTTTTGTTCTTAGAAAATTGCTTTTTAAAAATTTGCAAAATAAAATGCCCAATGGTTGTTCTTGTCCATCTTCTGATGTTCTTTAGACACACTTGCCTGTGATGGAGGGAGTTGTCTAAAGCACATATTGAGTGCCACTCCAATCATTGTAATAGCTTTGACATGTCTTGTATTTATAGTATTTTCTCCTACAAAGCCCTGCACTAATTGATACTCAATAACTATTTATTGGTTGATTAAAATATGCTTGTGTTTAAAATGGGAAGAAATGCGTAAAATTTACTATTAATTATTTCCTGGGTATGCCTTATTCTGTTAGTGTTAAATTTGCATTAAAATCTATTCTTGACATAGCCCTTAACAAATTGATTTATTAAATATGAGAATCAAATATAACAAAATTATGGACAATATGTGGCATTTTACTTTCCCTTTCAATCTGAAATACCAACCTAAACCATTGAGATTTATTCTGAGTAGGCAAAAATAAAGGATATAATATGACCAAATTATTACATGTATTCTGTTCTTAAATCAGGCAAAATATTAATACAAAATCTAGGTTTATGTAGTGATATGTTCATGCAATTTTAGTAACTTAATGAAAAAGTATTTTTATTTTAGCATATTACAATGATAAATTAATTATGTCCTTGTGTCATTTCTTCAAAACAAAAAATTACAACTTTCTGATTATAAGAGAATTGTAACTTATACTTTTGCAAATACAGACATGAATATTTTAAAACTAAACATAATTTAATAGTGTTAAACATTTGGTAGAGGGCTATATAATTTGCTTCTCCTGATGAAGTGATGAAAATTAAATTTGTCAGCATCTATATTATGTAATATTTATATTTTTACTTTATATTATTTTATATGTACAGAAGGAAATGAAAAGGAAAATAATACTGAGTCACTAGCAAAGGGGTATCCAACAACTGTTATATTTCTTTCCTATGTTCTAGAATATTTCTCCTTGCTTAGTCTTTTCTGTAAATCCTGGTCTTAAACTTCTGACTGCTTCTCTGTCTATTAAAAAATTTCTTTTTTGGATATTGTTTTTCTTCATTTAAGATTTTAATGATTAATGAATAGAACCAGATTAGTTTATCAACAGGCAAGTTGAACATTTCTTTTATTCTAGTACTTCCTCCATGAAAAATTACATTAAGATCTTGTCTTTCTTAATTTTTTTTCCATCTGAGTCAATTCAGAGACTCGATTCCTAGTTGATGTACTTTTTTTGAAATTTTTCTTTAGAGCAATCTTTTGTAACTTTTGATATAAGAGGAAAAATAAGAGATAGGTTACAGTTTTTCCTCTAATTCAAGTTACTGTGATGAGACTAAAACCAGTTGTATTCCAATGCTCAGTGTGTTAGTCCATTTTCACGCTGCTGATAAAGATATACTTGAGACTGGGCAATTTACAAAAGGAAGAGGTTTACTGGACTTACAGTTCCACATGACTGGGGAGGCCTCACAATCTTGGTGGAAGGAAGAGCAAGTCACGTCTTACATGGATGGCGGCAGACAAAGAGAGAGCTTGTGCAGAGAACTCCTGTTTTTAAAACCATCGGATCTTGTGAGACTCATTCACTGTCATGAGAACAGCACAGGAAAGATCTGCCCCCATAAATCAGTCTCCTCCCACAAGGCTCCTCCCATGTCACGTGGGAACTGTGGGAGTTACAACACAAGATGAGATTTGGGTGGGGACACAGCTGAACCGTATCACTCAGTAATTTAACAGACAAATAAATAGCATGCTTGCACATTGAAAACAGTTCTTTATAAGGTCAGTTTGCCACTGCCATTCTGATAGTCACTAATTTATCTAAGTCTGAATGTAAAACTTCTAAAACATTTAATAGACATTTAGTGAGAAAAAATATGACATGGTAAATATATTTGCAGTATGAAGTTGGGGATTTCTAAATGGAAGTTTGAACAGCTTTTCAGCCAGATGAGTATTTAAACAACCTGTAATCTTAGATAAAATATAAATTCAAAAAGACTTTATGCAGTAAAATGTTATTAATTTCTACATGTATGGGATTTGAGATAATTTGGTTCAATGAACGGTTTCTCAAATGTCTGTTATATTGGAGGAATTTTTGCAGGCATTGGGCA